ATAAATCCGGCTCTCAGAGAGGTAGTCTAGAAACATTTTCTCACACAGGTCCATAGGGCCGTGGAAAAGGACGCACCATGCAGCGCTGTTTGTGTTGAACAAGAATCCATCCAGGTGTCACTTACTGGGGGCCTGCATAGCAAAATGTGGTGCCAGCTCACTATCATATCTGACCAACTGGACCAGGGGTTCCCAAATGTTCTCACTTCACAGCACCTTTAGAGTCTTAACAATCCACTCAGCACAGTGGCTCACGTCTGTAATCCTATCACTTTGGGAGGCTGAGGCGGGAGGAACTGTTGAACTCAAGAGTTCAAGACCAGCCTGAGCAAGAGTGAGACCCCATCTCTAGTAAAAAAAAAAATAGAGTCTCAATTATCTTTTCACAGTGCTCCTATGCCAAAAGAAACAGCTAACAGTGTGGTTAGCCATTCTGTTCTGTTCATGATTGGTTGTCCAAACAGCTACTATGTATTTATGTCCTAATAACTTAGTAACTGTTTGAAGAAAACAATGCACATAATTTAGAAGAGAAAATAATATTTCATTTCTTTTTTCTTTTCTTTATCTTTTTAAAAATTTTTTTTGAGACAGGGTCTCCCTCTGTCTCCAGGGCTAGAATTCAGTGCTCATCATAGCTCACAGCAACCTCAAACTCCTGGGCTCCAGTGATCTCCTGCCTCAGCCTCCTGAGTAGCTGGGACTATAGGTGTGCCACCATGCCTGGCTAATTTTTCTATTTTTTTGTAGAGATGAGGTCTCACTTTTGCTCAGGCTGGTCTCAAACTCCTGGCCTCAAACAATCCTCCCACCTCAGCCTCCCAAAGTGCTAGGATTACAGGTGTGAGCCACTGTGCCTGGCCCCATTCTTAACATAACCAGAATTATTTACTGAGGGGAGGTGTGTGCCTGTTGGGCACTGCACAACTTCTCAAATGTTAGGGTCAAATTGGACACTGTGCCCTTATTTTCTATTTCACCTTGATTTTCATGCAGTACTTGCTTTTCACTGCAACTGCTGAGAATACAGCTTCACAAAGATATGATGTTATCAAAGGAATGTAGCTAGAACTGTGAACTACCTCAAGTTACTAGTTCTCATGGTGCCTGACAGATGTTAAGTATCACTGTGCTTCCCTAAAAAGTAATATTCCACAGCACCCCTATGGGTTCCCTACAGCTTCCCAAAGCACCTTGGTTCACAATTTGGGAACCACAGGATTAGATATCTACATAGCAATATGAATAAATCTTCAAAGCAGTGCTTAATTTAAAAAATACTTAGGTTGTTTGGGGCTGAATGTTTGTGTTGCTCCAAAATTCATTGATGCCCTAAACCACAATGCGATTGCATCAGGAGATAGGGCCTTTGGAAGATAATTAGATTTAGATTAGCTCAGGGGGTGGGGCCATCATGATGGGATTAGTGCCCTTTTAAGAAGGGTAAAAGATGAGTTTTCCCTCTTCCCATGTTCATACACCAACAAAAGACCGTGTGAGCACACAGTGAGAAGGCAGCTATCTACCGGCCAGGAAAAGAGCCCTCACCAGGAACCAAATCCACCAGCACCTTGATCTTAGAATTACCAGCCTTCAGAACTGTGAAAAATAAATGTTGTTTAAGCCACCAAATTATGGTATTTTGTTACTGACTAAGACACACAGTAAGACCCACTGGGCTCCACTGAGTCTGCTCTTGCTGAGGTTTCTGTGACATGAACCTGCCCTCCTCACTGCTAAACCTGAGGGATGGGTTTCTAGGCACCATTTGACCCTGTCAAAAGCCCCATCTCTTGGGAAGGCTCTAGTGGCTTCCACCACATGCCTCTCTCTCAGTCTCTTCCCGTGTCTTTGACTTGTCCTTCACAGCTCCCTCGGGCTCTCCAACTGTCCCACCCTGAGCCCTTTCTGCACAATCTAACCCATCCCACTGGCAGCTGAAAACTCCTGTCAAAGGACAAAATTACAACAAATTTAGTTTAAAGATCTTAACTGGCTTTTATGCATGACTCTAGAATTGGGCAACATCTCAGTCTATACCATAGAATGAGTGTTTCAATGAGCTGAGCAGAGGAGGTTGGTTTTGTGGACAGAAAAGAGCAGAGGAAAGCAAAAGCAGAAACAAAAAACAGATTGGTTGTTTCAAAGTTACTTTCCTTGTAAAGATTAAAGCACGGAGGACTTCCTTATCTTGCCAGCTAAAACTGGCCTGTTTGGGGATTTAGCTATTATCTCTCTTTCTTCCGATTTCTCAGAAGGTCAGATAAACCACTTAATTTCGTCGTGGTGGTGTGGAACTTCGGCATGAGTGACTCCATTTTGGTTTGGTCCGTTGGGCCCATGCAGGATCTCAGTGCAAACCAACAGCCTCCTATAAACTTGATTTAACACTCCCAAACCATTGTTTTCGGCCTAGACCTCTTTCCTGAGCTGGAGGCTACATACCCAACAGCCTGGTCACATCTCCACTCAGACATCCCACAGGGACCCGGAACCTACCATGTCCTGACTAAACTCACCATCTCTCCCAGCCCGCTTCTCCTGCACGTCTCCTAAGAGGACGGAGCCCCTCTCCTTCTGGTGGTAGCCTGTGGTAGACTGCATTGCTGGCCGCAGTTCTTCACCCCTCCTTGCACCCACACCCTTGCCATGGCCTCGCCCCACCACCTGACGTTGGGCTGGCCAGAGGACATACTTGGCCAGCAGCACAGAGGCAGAAGTGCAGTATACCAGTTCCCAGCCCAGGCTTCAGAGGCCTCACACACTTGCCGGTGCCCTTTTCTGCTCTGCCATGAGGAGAGCATGCGTGGACACCCCGCTGGTTCCAAAAGAAGGATGAGTGACAAATGGAACAGAGCCTGGGTCCGCTGACCCCCAGCTGACTGAGTTGGAGGGTGATTTGTTATGCAGCAATAGTTACCCAGCCAGCTCCCCTAAACCAGAAACCTGGACATTACCTTTGACTCCTCCCAGCCTTCAAACTGGGCATAGCGTGCCCAGAGCTTCCTGTATCCCTCCTGAATGCATCTCCTCTCCCTCCTCAGCACTTCCGCCTCAGTCCAGACCTGCCACACCACATTCTGAGAACTTTCCCTTCCTCCCTGTTGTCCCCATCCTCCACACAGCATCCCAAGTGATCTTCCTAACCTGCACATCTGATCAAGGATTTCTCTTTTGTAGGTCAACTTCGCCCTCAGGCTGGGCTATCAGTTGGCTTCTGGATAAGGGAAGAAGCCTTGCTGGGGACTGTGGGCAACCTGGCCACTGAGAAGAGACACCTCCAGGCAGTTTCTGTTTCGTAAACAAGTCAGTGCAGGCATCCTTACTAGGCCCTGTGCAGGGAGCTGGTTAGGAGCATGATAAGCAGAAGACCAGCCCCAGGCCATGGGATTCCAGCCAAGCAGCACTGCCCGAGGGTTTTCCTGAAACCCTCTACTACTGGGTATGCCTTTTAAGGGCATCCACAGGGAGGACAACTTGAGAGGCAGTGACAACTTGGAATGACGAGATCTGTCTTCATTCCTTGAAAACAGATCAGATCAGCAGTCTCCTTAGATAGGCAAATGCGCTCTCAGCCTTCCATTCTTCCCTGTGGCCACAGTTACATCAAAAGAGAGGAAGACTCACCAGGCTGGGATGGGTGCCACAGCCCATTGGGAAAGCGCCCCGGAACAAGACAAGCCTTCCTGTGAGGCAGCTCGGGAAAGCCAGCAGACTTGGTCTTCAGGAAACATTCATATATTGCCATAGGCCTTCTCACAAGGCTGCCCACTGAAATCACTCCATCATCATTGTTTTATTTAGTGGTTAAACGTGGATTTTGTACTCAAACTTCATGGCTTTGGGCTTAGCTCTGCCACTGATTTGGGGACCTTGGGCCACGTTAATTAACTTCTTTATGGCTCAGTTTATCATTCTACAAAGTGAGTATGATAATTTACACAAAGTTCAAAGTGAATCCATATTGGTAGACATCAGAATAGTGATTACCTTGGGGGCTATTGACTGGGAAGAGTCATCAAGGAAACTTCTGGAGTGGTGGAAATGTTCTATGTCTTGGTCCCAGTGGTGTTTATATGGGTGTATAGATACATTTTTAAAATCCATCAAGCACTTAAGATTAGTGTACTATATAAATTTTACTGTATTTTACACCTTAATTTAAAAGTTTTTAAAAATAGAGATAATAGTGCCTACCTCCCAGCATCATTGTGAGGACTAAATGTACTCAGCAGGTTACATAATTGCTCCTGACCTGGTAGCCAGTATTTGGCTATTGTCACAGGTGGTGATTGTGTCCCCGGTAATCTGTGAACAACTTGGAAGACAGGCACTTTGGCACCTTATTGTTCTAGCAGTGAGGAAGATCCCATTTGGGCTCCTAGCAGTTCAAGTTCAGCAAAGGGAGAGACAGGTAATCAGACCATTGCAAGTGTGTGAGAAGGCTCTGGAGAGCTGGTATGCTCCTAGCAGGAGCCTCTCACATAGGTGGCTGTTGGGGAGGGCTTCTGGGCAGAAGTCAGCCCTAGGGACAACAAGGATGCAGCCAGGTGGGGTGAGGGGAGGAGAAGGTGCCCTCAGCTCCGTGAATACCAGCTGGCCACAGGAACGAATGAGCCCCTGCATGCGGGCATCAGGACCTCTGATTTTAAATACAGGCGTGGGCTGTGACACACTAGGGAGCCACTCAGATTTGCTGGATCTGGACAGGGCCTGTCAGAGCCCAGTGCCTCCAAACCCCCCTGGCACTGTGACCTGTGACCCCTAAATCACCATCCCGGAGTGGACAGCTGCTCCAGGACCCAAGAACCAGCCACGGAGGACTCCAGGCCCAGGGCCACCAGAGGGACAGGCAAGGACAAGCCGGCTTACAGTTGAAACTTCCGGCCCAGGTGTCCTCCGAGGGAAGCCAAGCCGCGTCAGAGCAAGGCCGTTGCAGAGACCCGGTGAGGGCGCGGAGGCGCGGAGCGGTGGGCTGCGGAGGGAAGCCGGCTGCGCGGGGAAGCATTTACTGCACAGGTGAGAAGGCAGAGGCCCAGGCGATGCCGGCGGCTGTCCCCGCTCCGGTCCCCCAGCAGGCGGCGCCAGAGCGCAAGGCCGCCTCGTGACTCGGGTCCGGAGTCCGGCCGGGCGGAGCGAGGGCGGGCCCCTGCGTCTCTGGGCGTTGGGCGCGGCGACAGACACGCCGCGGGACGGACAGACGGACAGACGGACGGACGGACGCGCAGCCTGACCCTCCAGGGCCATGGCTGAGCACGCCGCCCGCCGCTGCTGCCTGGGCTGGGACTTCAGCACGCAGCAGGTACCATCGCGGGGCCGCGGGGTGGGGCGGCTTCCTCCGCGCCGCCGGGCGGGCTGCCACCCGCGCCGGGAACCCTGGGCCCAGCCGCGGGCGCGCCTCCGCTCAGGCTTCCCCGGGCTCCGGGTGCGTCTCTTGGCGATGCCCTGCTAGTGCCCCCCGCCCACAAGATGCTACCTCCACCCGCCTGGACCCCGGCCCTTCCGGAAACGGCAGGCGTCCCCGAGCAGGACCCCGGGTGCCCAGAGGAGTCGGAGGACTCGGCGGGTTCGTGCACTGTCATGAGCACTGAGTGACAGGGACCCGAAGGAGCTCAGCTACTGTAAAGCAGGGAAACAGACAGACGTGTAGCGGGGGAACAGGTAGACGTGTGCACATGCATCACCGGTGACCTGGAACCAAATAACTGCCTGAAACATTGTTTTCAAAAGTGAAATGGGTACAGTGTGCAAATGGACTTCGCCCTTCCCTGTGACCTACCTTGGTTGGCACCAGCGTGCCCTGGTCTGCAGGCACAGGACTGCTGGCCAGAGGAGGTCTGCCACCCCCAGGGCCCCCGCAGACAGGGCGAGCAGAATCAAAATTTGCCTTCAAACTGGGCATAGGGTGGCCAGAGGCTCCTTCTTAAAAGTACTTGGGAAATATACACAGCTGAAGCCAAACCCCTCTCCTCAAATGGGTCAAGGGAGACAGGTACCCGAGGGGAAAGTCCTGTGGGCGTCGGGACGAGTGGAGTTGCCTTGCTAGACCTGCTTCCCCAACTGTCCAGGAAAGGAGTTATGCTCCTGAGCTTGGAGATCTGCTTCAGTGGGATATTGTGTCTCTGGGCGGTGATCATGGTCTTTGGGGACATTGCCTGGTGTCTCAGACCCCAGCAGACAGGCACCCCAGAGACATCTCCAAACCTTGCTTCCCATTCTTTCCCCTCTGGGACTTTCTCAGGCCCCCTTGTCAGATGCAGGAGCTAGCATATCTCATCTGTGAACATCGACCTCTAGAGGGGCTTGGTTTTGGCTGTTTGGGGAGAACAGATTCCTTGAGATAGGTGGGTCTTTCTACTCAGCCTGTTTCTTTATTTTCATAAATTTTTGAGTATACCCCCAGATAAAGCCTCTGTTGCTACGATTACCATGACACATCCCTGCCTTGGAGGAGATCTCTAGCTGAGCCACTGCTAGGGCTTCACCTGGTGATGTCAGTACCCCTGGACGAGTATAGAAGCTGAGAAAAATTCTATTTTTTTAAAATGCCTTCCAGGTGAAAGTTGTTGCTGTTGATGCAAAGCTGAATGTCTTTTATGAAGACAGTGTGCATTTTGACAGAGACCTTCCAGAATTTGGGTATGTACCTTGCGTGCATGTGTGTTTGTGGGGAGGTGGTGGTTTGGGGATCCTCCCACAACCTTTTACATTCACGGACTGCACTGTTTTGGCCTCACCAAATTACAGGAGTGGTGGTTGTGGTAGAACTCTCAGCATCTTTTTTCTATACCTGAAGTGCTGTCTCCCCTGTTCCTTCCCAAGTGCATTCATGCATTCATTCATACGTGCAGTAAGTATCAGTTAAGACCACTTAGTGCCAAGCTGGGCCCTGGGATTGATGGTGTACCAAAAAGAGAAATGGTCCTTGCTCTCCCAGAGCTTCCCATTGAGTAGGGAGGCTAATATCAACCAAAGAATATCAAAGAGTATTTGGTTATAAACTCCAAGAAGGCCTCTGAAAGAAAGGAACTTACTTCTCCAGGTGCCACCCACACTTGGGTGGAGGAGTCCAGGAGGGTCCCTAAGGAAGTAGTGCTTACGCTGAGATCTGAGTGAGTGAAGTTAGCCAGGTGATGGAAGAGCATTCCAGGCAGAAGGAACAGTGTGTGCAAAGACCCTGTGTCAAGAAAGAGCACAGTTCATTGATGGAATGAAAGATAGCCAATGTTTCTTGAGCGCAGAAAGGAGAGAAAGCTGGGCAGAGCCCTATAGGCCAAGGTACAGAGTTTTTTTTTGTTCTAAAAGCCGTGGTCAGCCACTACAGAGCCATAAGGGGTAGGGGTGAGGTGTGATTGTGTTTGTGTTTTGAAAAGATCTCTCTGGGTGCAGCGGGAGAGTAGATGAGGGGTGGCCAGAGTGGAGAGACCACTGAGGAGGTTTTTATAGGTCATGTAGACAAGAAATGGTGAGTGTGAGACAATGAGAGAGCTGGGTAGTGAAATGACAGGTCCTCGTGCAGAATCGAATGTGAGGTGTGAGAGTGAGGTTTCTAGCTGGCCTTTAGGATGGATGGTCAGCTGTGGGAAAGGATGGCTATTGAAGAGAAACATCTTAAGCTCAGCTGTTGTATTAGTCTGCTAGGGCAGCCATAACAAAACACCACAGACTGCGTGGCTTAACACATTGATTGCCACACAGAAAAATCAAAAACTCTTCCACGGGGTCACAGTGTTTTATTACAAAAATAGAGTAAAAACTTCGAGTGTAATTTAAAGGTAAACATAAGTAGAGAAATGAAATTTATTGACTTCTATTCATTTAATCCACATTTTTAGAATTAAATTGTCAATATTAAATGTAACAATAAGAATATCAACAAGTAAGATTTTGCATATGCTTCATGCAGCCCCAGGGTCAAAACTAGAGTGAGTTGAATACAATTCTCATGGCAGTTAATGTGTTAAACAGCAGACATTCATTTTCTCACAGTTCCAGAGGCTGGAAGTCCAGGGTCAAAGTGCTGGGAGGATTGTTTTCCTCTGAGGCCTCTCTCCAGGGCTTGCAGACGGCCCTTCTCTTGCTGCCTCTGCACATGGTGGATGCTCTGCGCAGAAGTTCTCAGTGTCTGTATGTCTGTGTCCCACTCTCCTCTTTTTATAAGGACATCAGTCATACTGGATTAGGGCTCACCCTAATGACTTCATTTGAACTTAATTACCTTTTTAAAAGCACTATTTCCAAAAACAGTGACATTCTGAGGTCCTGGGTTTCAGGATTTCAGCATATGAATTTTGGGGATACACAATTCAGTCCACAACAGCTGTGGACTTGTTGATTTTGAGGTAGCTCTGTGAGGTCCTATTAGAATTGTCCTTTCCCATCTGTGTTAGACGTACTTCCTCTTTGAAGCCTTCCCTGCTGGCCCTTGTGCACCTCTTATGACCTGTCACATCTTTTTTTATTTATTTATTTATTTTATTTTTTTTGAGACAGAGTCTCACTCTGTTGCCCAGGCT